CCGCCGTGAGGCGAGGGGGCTCGCGAGGCTAACGGCCGCCGTAACGGCCGCCGCTGGGAGGGCGTGTGCCACGGCCGCTCCGCCGCCGCTTTCTTTAGGCAGAAAAAAATACCGCTTTTTTTTTTTTTTTTTTTTTAAAAAAAAAGGTTTTTTTTTTTTTTTTTTTTTTTTGGGGGGGGGGGTCTTGTTTGTTTGTTTGTTTTTTGGCTTTTTTGTGGTTTTTTATGTTTTTTTCTTTCAAGGGGGGGCAGGGGGAGGGTGCTGTGGAGGCACTCTGTGCCCAGCGCCGCGTTCAGGTATGCCTTGGGCCGAGGCATCCCGTGCGGCTGAAGTTTGGCCCCGGGGTAAATAATCCCTGGGTCGTAATTTACGCCTGGCGCAGGTAGCGTGAGGTGACGAGGAGCGGGATTAAAAAGCCGATGTGCAGTTGCGTGGCTGCTTCTCCAACCCCCTCCCTCATGGCAACTGCCTCGCTCGCCTCACAGGGTGAGCGGATAGGTGGCTGGATCTTCAGGGTGCATGGCCCTTGTTTTAGGCTTGCGGCAGGATCTGGGTCATTTGCTGGGTGAAGCAATACCATCAAAGGCTCGCTTAATAAGGGGTTGGCCATTTCTGTTACTTCCATTGCTGTAATACTTCGCTTCCCTAAAGGTGTTGCTTGGGGCCCTAACGGCCCTATCAGCGTGGAAATTAAGATCTACTAATGAACCTCTTGGATCAAGGTGCTTTAGATCCAACTTCAGTTTATGTTCTGAGTGAAGTTCATTGTTCCGTTGCCCTGTTGCTGTCCACAGACTTAACACAACACATGTATGGCTTGATTTACAAAACATTGGAATGTGCTTCATGTTAAGTATCTAGAAGCCAAGGAATTCCTAGCAGACTCCAGTGGAAAAGATTTTTACTCTTTTTAATCAAATTTCCCAGAATGATACAGTTAAATGCTGAATTCAGTGGTTACTGATAAATTGTTTGAATGGGAAAAGGCAGAAAAGGTTTGCGTCATTTGCCTCATGCAGTTTATACCTAAAGCTTCCTCAATAAATCATGTAGTCGTAATGATTTCTTTTCTGGGTAACCCTTGTTCTTTCCTTGAGTCATGTTTTCTATGCAGTTAATGAGGTAAAAGTCTTTTAGGGAGAGAAGCAACGATAGCGTATGTTTGTATGGGCTAAGATTGTATATAAATATAACAACAGCAGTGTTTTATTTGTTCAGTGTTAATGTATATTTCTTATGTCACTTTCTCCTTGGTTATTTGTAAGGAATTTTAGAAATACTGTTGGGATGGCAGAGTACCGGTTTGACAGTTGTCGCAGTATTGGGTCTCACTGGAGCGACTGTCGTTGCTGATCTGTTGTTAGCCCTAACAGACCTTTAGCCACTTCACCAGTGAAGTAGCTGGTCGTAGAGCATACCTGCCTTCTCTGTGGGCTGCTCTGTACACCTGTATCAGACATGAGCTTGGCCACTGGATTTCAAGGGTTTGTCATTTTCAATTAAAACTGTAAGATGTGTTTAAAACTCTGTGGTTTTTTTGAAGTGTGGCTCAGTCTTGCTTTTTAAGTGAACAATCTCATATTGATGTACAGCCACACAGAGTTCTCTAACCCAGCTTCTCTTGCAGTCTTATTTCTGCAGTTTTATGTGAGGAAAAAGCACACAAGCTGACATACAGAACTGTGATAGATTTTCCTCTGTGCCTTAATCATGTTCTCCTAACCTCTTTGCTGATTAAAAGAAAAGTTGTGCTTGAGATGGAGGCTGTTAAAGAACTGTAGAGCTATGGAACTGTTCCACTCATGAGAAATGCTGCTCTCTCAGAAAGGGAGACTTCCTTGACTGGGAAGGCTGCTTTACAGTGAATTACAGCAGTGTACGTTCTCTTCCATACAGTCCTGCCCTGTTACTGAGGGTTTGGTATGAAGTACTACAGCTCAACTCACTTCCTGTTCAGCTGTAGGCACGTATTGTGTCGCAGGTTTTTCTGTCTGCCCTGTGAATCTAATAGGGGTGAGTTCTGGGATTGCAAAGCCTATCGAGGAAGGTTAGGAACGCGTGGGGACTGGAGATGCCTGAAGAAGTTGGTGAGCACAGGAGGGGACTGGGAAACAGGACTGCGTTGTGTGATGGTCTGTTGCTGATGCTCTGTCAGATAGCCTCATTATCTTTACTGCCACCTCATCCCTACCTCATACTGCACTCTGCAAGAGGTTAGATTAGCTTTTTTGCTCATTAATACAACTCAAAGTAAATGCATTTTAGAATATTACAGCCTAAGACTCTGAGAGTGGAAAAAAAAAAAGTAGAAAGTAAAAGAACAAAACAACCGCAAAGAGGAAGAACAGCAGCAAAAATAAATCCATTTGAGTGCAAGGAATTGTTCACATCATCTTCTATTGCCTTTAGAAAAACAGAGAGGTAACAGGAGTGCAAAAGCAGTAAGGCTATTTGAGAACTGAGTCTCATGCTTCCTGTAGAAATGATGGTTATTTCACTCTGACCTGAGAGTGGCAGTGGGGGTCATTCTTGAAGCTACCTGTTTTATTTCAGTACTATGATAAAAAGATCCTTTTTGGAAGACAGACAGACATGATTTCATTAACTGTGATTTTTGTTCATCCTAACAACCTCTGGGCACATATCACAAAAGTCAAAGCTCCTGATTGTAATTACCTCTGCAGAACAGGCAGAAGCTTTACGGGAGCTGTCATAAAGTGTTCGTAGCTTTGTTTCCCTGAAACTTAGAAACACAATACAATGACATTTTCATTGCTTCCAGTGTTTTTGGCCCTTTTATTGCACCAATGCCGCTGTTCTTTTGGTGCCTTGGTGAGCTGATTTGGCTCATGAAGCCAGCAGGTTATTGTGTTTTTCTGTATTCTGATTGGGTTTTTTTGGTGGGATTGCTTTTCTTCGCTCTAATGAGCATATTGGCTCATTGCAACCTCAGAGAAGTGCTAGAGCTGACTCAAGGGGAGCATTGAGGGGACAATGAACAGGACCACCCTCTTTAGCAGCAATGATCTGTTAGGTTGGCTTAGTTGCACATGAAAATTTCTACTCCTGTATTTATCTCCATGATTGCATCAATCAGGGAGCTTGCAGAGTGACGAAGCATGTAGTAAAAGAATTGTTGAGAGCTAGGAATTAGATCTCTCAGTGCATCTTTGGTAATTGAGGCTGTAAGGATGATAATAGTGAGAAAGTGAAAGTGTGGGGCAAAATGTAGTCTCTATCTGATATGTTGAAAACAAAAATCAAAACTTCTACCATGTTAAATGCGCAGTTCATTATTCTATTTTCTTTCTTCAGTATGTGACCATTACTTTTTAATAAGTCATGGAAATTTTGTTGTGAATAAACTGGTTTTTAATGATGATTTTCACTACATGGCTAATTTCAAAGATGCATTTTTCCAGCTTTTCTGTGCATGGGATGCTGACTTTCAAGACAGGAAATAGAGACATACAGAGGGAGAAACAAGGGTACTCTGTGTTTCTCTTGCTCAGTGCTTAGATATGTAGGACCTGTTGTTTTGGAGAACTTAAAGGACATAAGGTCATATTTTATACCTTCTTTGTGAGTTCATACTTAAATCTGAATGCAGAGTCTCTAAATGAGGAGGACATATGATACCTATTTAATTTAAGTGACTTGTCTTTTGTCAGATTGAAGTCCTTCTGACAGAAGAGTAGAGTACCGTTTCCCAGGGCAGCTTTCTGTGACACGCTGTAAGGCCATCCTTTTCTGCTGTCCATGGGTCTTTCACAACATACACTTCAACTTCTGAAAAACTCTGTAGGATCCTGTAGACCAGCAAATGTTAAATGAACTGTAGTCAAAACTCTCTTGAGAAAATCAGTCATGAGCTGAACCTCCCAAGGTACAGCTCCACATGGACCTCTAGGGTTTGTTAGAATGTATCTCAAAGCACAGGTGGTTACACATGACTTATTGCTGGGTAGAATTCGTAATTTTAATAGAAAACTTGTCTGGGTGAATGTCTTAAATATGAAGGAATATGATCACTGGAATAAGGTGTCTGAACAAGGTCAGACCAGGAGTGTATGTTTCCTGCATTCTGATCTCTGACAGCAGCCAGTGGGGACAGGATCTCCCATTTTCTGTTTGACACTTGACACTACTACCAATAGAAGCTTTCTTATGCAAGAATGTGCCTGAATGTAGATGTAGACTGAATTACTTTTCAAATGTTAGTGTCTTTGTTGATGCCTAACCTTCTTCAGGGGTCGTACTACTTCTCTCCCCTACCAGATTTCTTGTGTGAACAGGTACTGCACTGCCATCTGCTAAAAAAGAGGCTGGTGTACAGCTGTGGCTTCTTGCTGGCCGTTTCCATCACTGCTGTCTCTGGACACATAAGACCAAAATGCTTTTGTACACTTAGGCCATCTTTCACAACCTTATAGATGCAACTACTGCTTCTGTTTTGTGATGTGGCTCTGAAGCCATCTTGATACAAAAGGTTGCTACAGAGATGCAAAGGACTGAATAGCTCATCACCAGTCACCTGCCATTCAGTTTTGCTTCGGTGACTTTGAGGAAGGATATGGTGTGAATCCCAGACGACTGTGTCCTCACCTGCATTTTGTTTCCATTTTTTCTTGTCAGCTAGTCCTTCTCATTTTATGAGCCTAGAAGGCAGCTATCGTATCTTCTCCAGCTTGCAGGTGAATGCTCCTGTTTGCTTCCAGACCTGGTGGTCTTGTCTATGGATGCAGAGTTGCATGAGTTGGTATGACTTCAGTGCCAGTTTAGGAAGTTGGACTAGTTCATCTGGGAAACTGGTCTATTTAAGAAAAAAAAAATCATTTTTCTTCCAATTCTGCAAACCGAGGCAGTCCACCCAGGGACTGGAATCCTGTTTTGGGGAGTAAGAGCATGGTTGTTACGAGATGGTGGTGCCAGTCTGGACCATTGCTATAAAATCTGGCATTGCAGTGGGCTGGTAGCTTAGGCGTTTCTCCTGCTGTGTGTTCCCTGCCTCTACCCTAGATCTACAGATTTCTGCAGCTACAGGGTGAGTTGGTTATTGAGCTGTTTGGGGAAGTGAGAGGAAGCAGGAACTGATCAATGGAAAACTGAGCTGCATTATGACTAGATCGGCATCAGGGAAGAGAAGAAGAATATGAATAATGCTTTCCACAGCAGTCTGGAGACGCATCAGATTAAGCATAACACGAGACAGCACCTTATGCCTTGTTACTCATCGTTACCCAGCCATTATGATGCTGACAAGTGCTTTTCCACCTCATCTGGTGCACCTGTGAATATGTAGCATTTTTTCTTTACATGGCTCTTCTATTTCATAGTGTCATCTTCATCTTTTGCTAGCCTCCCCTGTACAGCTTGAAGGGGCACTGGCGCTACACCCGGTCAGCTTTGAACAGTTTTCAGTTCCTTCTGTCTACCTTAGCGACTCATCTGAAGCTGTACTCTCCTCCAAGAGCTTTTTTTCTTTCTTCCTGTCTTTTGAGTGAGAAAGATGGTGCTCTTGGCTCCTGGAACTGTTCCTGGAGTAGTAGATCATTGCACAGATAGTTGCTAAGTTGTGTTTTCTAGAGGACAGTTGGGAACAACTCCAAACAGCTCAGGAGGACCCTACTTTGGGGAGAATTCTTCAAAAGACTGTGGGAGAAGTTCCAGCATGACCTGTTTTTCACCAAAGTTGAAGGCAGAGTACTCTGGGAATGGGCTCTCTGAGAACTGGGGTGCTGGGAGGATGTGTAGAAGCAATTAGGTTTACTGTGGCTTCCTAAGGGAGGGTAACTTCTTGAATAAGGGGGTTTTGCCTGTTAGTATACACTTGGAACTTAAACTCATATGTATGTCAAGTGTTTGTACAGAGATCTCTGCACAGTGTTCCCCACAGCCTCTGGTTCCAAGAGGTTTCAAGAACATACTACAGAGGATCTGGTGTCTGCCCAGTACTGGAAGAGCTTTCCAGTTTGGGTCCAGTATTACAATGTAAATGCACTCAGCTGAAGAAGTGCACTTCACTGACTGGAAGATTCTGTGATGGGCTGGCTTCTCTGTGGTGCAGTAAGATTTACAACACGCCCATGCTAAATATTTACTTAATGTGAGGCTGCAGAAAGGGAAAAGAGCATACGGATGTATTCACTGACAAACATAGGGTCTGAAGAAGTGTGGAAAGCTAAGACTCACTAGCTTTAGAGAGTGTGCTGTGTTTCAGCTATAATGAAGATTGGTGAATACAAAATTGTTACATGTACACCACAATTATTTGTTTAGAATTAAAGTGTGTTCTGCTGGGTTTTAGCATTAGAAATTTTTAAGTTAAGACTTCAGATCAGTTTCTAGGAATTGCTGACTTTCAGGTCAAAATTGTGTTAAAATAATGCATTTGTTTTGGATTTTGCAGATTGCCTTCATGACCTTGACTCTGTTTCCTATCCGACTCTTTTTTGCTGCTTTTATGATGTTGCTGGCCTGGCCTTTTGCATTCATTGCTTCAATGGGATCTGACGAGCAAGAGCTTGAAAAGCCCCTCTCCGGGTGGCGAAAGTGAGTCACTGGTGTGGTGAAATATTGAGAGCATCATTATTTTGTTCAGCAGTTTGAAATAGAGAAGATTGGAAATACCTGATAGCTGTCCCACAGACCTGCTTTTCTCTTCAAAATAAAACTATAAAAATTATTATTTAAACACTTTCCTCATATGGGAAACTAAAAATACCTCAACTGTTTGATTTACCAGGTAACCCAAGTATTACAGGGAGAAAAATTTATCATCTCTGGCCTCTTACCTTTATTGAGGATGTAGTGTGAAGCTTCATTGTGACATTCTTCAATTTCAGTTATTCCCATAATGTCAAGTTCTTGTTGTCAAGACTGACACTATGGAATGTGCCAAGATTTCATTATTCTAAATTGTTGTTTTAAACTGCTTCACCCCATCACCTTGTGATGAATTGACAAAACTTCTGTTGATTCTCTGAGGTCTTGCCCCATGCTTTAGTGCTTATTAATAAGTCTCCCCTTGCTTTGATATTGGAATGCTAATTAAGGTAGAATATAAGGCAGTGTTCACCCATCCATGAAGACTGCTGTTTGAGGAGCAAGAAAGGAGGAGTGTATCACCTCTTCTTAAACAACTTTAAAATTAGAAGCTGGCACTGGCATGAGGGAAGCTGATTGTATTTTGAATTACAAGAGGGAAGGAGATTGAGAACCACAGGGGCATGTCACTTTACATTTAATTTTGAATGGTGTCAGTGTAATAACTAAAGGAATAACGGACTGCCTTCAGTCTTGCATACAGTTATTTTGAAGCTTTTTAAATTGTCCCTCTCCCATTTCATCTGGTTTTTGGTCTCATTCTGCTCTTTAGTCTCCAATCCTTGTGTGTATAGCAATTTGTGGTATTTGGTTTTTGCACTGTGTCGGTTCAAAATAAATGTTTCTCTTTTCATGACTGTCAGCTTAAAAAGCAAGCAAACAAACCCCCACAAACAAAACCCCGAAACACTTTAGGATGAGATGGGGAAAAGGGAAGAATGTAAAATATTTCCAGAGCTCCCCAGATGTGTTCTGTAGGTATTCCCATATTTGAGAATCTCTGCCCTATGTTTTTCCACTGTTTTGTTTGGGTAAACTTGAGCCCAAGAATCAATGTTGTTGCATTCTAATAGCATTTTTCAGGACTTGGTTTATTAGAGCTTTTTTTGTGTTACTAGAAATCGTTATTATACAATGTATAGAAGAAACTCAACCATCATCGTTGAATCAAAATTAATTTAGTGATAAAATAAATGCCTATCTTACTGTGATTATAAAGCATTCGTATTCGGACATGAAATGAAGCTGAATGGCATCTTACCTTGAAGGTGGTCTTAAATCTGCTGAGAGAGAATACTGCATAGACCTTTTGTTTTCTCCTGCTCTGTTCAAGCAGCGTGTCCTATCTGTACTTTTGTCATGCTTATAAAGTTTTTTGTAATGTTTTTCTTTTCATAATTTTAAGATGTTCCTGTGGCAGCATAACTGTTTTCTCAACTTCTTACAGGGTAGTGGATATTTTGCTGAAAGCAATCATGAGAATGATGTGGCTTGCTGGTGGATTCCATTGGATAAATGTAAAAGGCAGACAGGCGTTGCCAGCGGAAGCAGCAATATTAACTGTGGCTCCCCATTCTTCCTACTTTGATGCCATTCCAGTAACTATGACCTTCGCCTCCATTGTGATGAAAGCCGAAAGCAAAGATATTCCTGTTTGGGGAAGTAAGTTGGCAGATACTTAATTTTTTTCAAGAACAATTAAAAATGATTACTTAGGAAGTTCACGGGTTGTGTATGAAAAAGCTATAATATATGGTGAGAATTTTTTTTTTACTGGTCTACCTTGAATATCAATAGAAAAAATGGGGGGCTGTTTGGTTTTTTCCCTTTTTCCGAAGTTGAATCACTGTGCAAAGTCAAAACAGTCCTACGGAACTCATGGTTAAATTTGCAGTGAAATTGTAAGATTTTAAGACCTAATAAATAGAAAAGCAAGTTAGGATGGGACTATATAAGCAAACAGTGAGACTATAGAGAAAGTCCACCAACAATTCTTTCTTGGTGCGAGTTGGGGTGTCATCCCAAAAATGTGTTTTAGGAATGTTGGCTGATCTGAATGGTACCCTGCCTTGAGGCAGTGTTGCTAATCCTTCATGCATCAATAAGTTTGTTTCAAGCAGGGTGCGAGAGATGAGCAAGAGCAGATTGTTGTCCACTCAGATTTAGTCTTAAGAAATGCAGATACGCGAGCCAATACGGTTTGAATACTATCTTTGGAATTACCATTGTAGATTCTCACAAAGTCTTGGGGGAGACCTGTGTTTTTTGGTGCAGTTGTGCAAAAAAAACCAAAAAAAAATGTATAAGCTTTTAGGCTTGTAGACTTCTAACCAAAGTCTTTGTGGAAGCATTTGGAGTAACCCACCATATTGTGTCTAGAGAGTTCAAAGACGCTTCCAGTGTCTCATTGTGTAGATTTAAAGGATAGTATAAAAGGGCAAAAGGTTTTACTTTGGCCTTGGATGGGGACTTTAAATTTAAAATTTGTACAGAAACTTTGAGTTCCTTTGCAACTAAGTGAAATCAGGCTGTTGGTGCTGACATCCTCCCAAAATTTCATTAGACAATGTGGTTTTAAGGACATGTTCAAAACCAGAGGCTGAGACATGGCCACAAATGCTGAGTGGTTACACCTGGAAGCTTTGTGTAGGGAATCTCACGGTATAAAGGTGTCTCTATCAAGTAAAGCTCAGGCCAGAACTGTAGCCGTATCTCAATTTCATTGAATATCTTACTAATAGAGTTCAGTAAAAGTTTGTGGCAGTGAAAAAAAATCTGTGTAAAAATGAATAGATGCTTTGAACAAAAAGGGTGTAGATGTGTGGTTTTGAAAGCAAATGTATATGAACAAGTATAGTGTGAAACCAAAAAGAAATTGAACTCTACTGTCAATACTAAAAGAATATTTTTTTTTTGAAACAGTATGTTGACACTCCTGCACAGTATAGGTGTATCCAGGCAAACTTGGGCTTTAGGAGCAGTCCAGCTATAGAAGCAGGGGTAAATTTATTTTCTTTCTCAGCTGACTCAATTGTCTGTTTAATAATTGCTAGCTCAGGAAAATGAAGTAGTCCATGTGGAGCTCTTCTTTACTTGCAGCTGGACTGTTTGGAGGACCCAAACTAGATGAGGTAACTCCAGGTCGTGTTGTGTTTACTGAAATGTGATGAAACAGCAGAATGGCTTTTGACAGAATGCAATAAAAGCTGTTGAATTATCCCACATAATAGATCCAGTGGGGACTAGTGGGAAAGCCTGAGGAGATTCTGTAGGGGTATGGAGGATGTAGCACAACTAATGCATATTGACTAGTTCAAACTATTTCCTGTATATCTAATTTAATTTTAAGGTAACTTTTAAAGGATGCAATTGAAAGTCTGAACTCATAATAAGTTATTTAAATTATTGAGTTGATTTCGTTTATGTGTGAGTAAAACCAATTACAGAAAACCCAGACAACTGCACATAACGATCTGATTGAATATTACTGGAATGTACAGTGTAGTCAAGTAAATGAATATTTTGTCCTGTATATCTGCATTAATGTTGTCATGCAGCTGCCAAAATTATGTAGTCCCTTATGAAGTGGTGCATAGCAATGGTGGTAACTGAGATTCAGAGTTCAAAAAACTTTTTTTTTTAGAGGAATACTTTTAAATGAGCAACATTAATTACAGCAGTTTGTGTTATTATAGCAAATGGACCTTAACAGAGAGGTAAGTAGACACTGTAATGATTAGTTGGCCTTAAAATTTAGTGAAAACTTTCCAGTGGAGTGAAGTTGGGATTTTTTACTTTTTTTTTTCTTTCACTGCTTGAAAGAGGCTTTCTGTGGAGCACGTGGTACTGACTGTCCTCTCCTCCTTTAGTCTAGTATTTCAATTCCAATGTTATTTACACTTCTCTACATATACGCACACAAATATGTATTTCATGTTATTGGACCACTGGTATTTCTCTTATGCTATCTGTGAAAAGGTGGTCATATTTTTCTTGGATTGCATGTTGATTTGTCAACACTTGAGACAGTCATCTAGAAGTTCTCCCAGAGGTCAGAACTATGTTGTATGTTCTTCAGTTTGGTAAATCTTGCAAACCTGTTATACCATCTCCAGTGAAGTTTTGGAGCCAGGCTTTAATAATCCTAATCTTGTGATCTCTTCATTGAGTCTTGCTAATGGTCATTCAGAATCTTCTGGGAAGTTTTGAATAAAGTACATTTATTTAACTCTGAGCAGATGTCAGCATGTAAAAAAAATGAAGCAGCACAGGAAATTTGAAGATAACTTCCAAGAATGAGGACTTTGGATGAAGAGTAGATTTTTCATCCAGAATATCCAAATATAAATAAGTTGGCTTTTTGATCTAGTGACAGTGTTTATCAGGACATTGTATGTTGTGTACCAGAGGGATCGGGTGCTTTAGCAGGCACAAAAAAGGATCTGATTGCTAACTGATTACCAAGATCGGTTCCGGAAGTACTTTAATAAGTTTCTGGGTCAGCCTGTATTACTGTACTTTAGTTTGCCAGTCATGGAATATTAAGCTGTTGATTCACTTCTAAGTCCAGATGATTAAAAATCTATTCTTTATGAGGTTGGAAGTATTCCACAAGTGTGTTTGTGTATGAGTGTTTTATTGCTTTCTGACTTGAAGGCAGCTCTCCTGGACTACAAAGTCCAATTTCAGAAGCAGATTTAAGTCTTGTGACTCTTTCAGACAACTTCCTTCTTTTTTCTTTTCTTTGTTTTCCTAAAAAACAAATTAAAAATGCTCTTTTGCTATGACAGAAGAGTTATGACCTCTTCAGTAGTGGTCAGTAATGAAGAAAATTACCCACTTGGCACACATACTAGGTTAACAAACTCTGGGGAGGAACTGCTTGTCCAAATATAAATAAGATCTCAACAGTCATCAAAAAGAAATCAGTGTATGGTAAGTAGAGAATGCTGGAACAGATGAAGTACATCACCATGAAGCTGAAGAAGGACATGCACTTCTGCACAATGGCTTTCCAAATGACATCTGGGAATCTGTTGCACCTTGCATTGGCTGAAGAGGTTAGATCAGTTCCTTCATCTGCACAGGTCCTTAAAGTTTCCTGTTTCATCTACTGGACCCCACATCATGTCAGAACAAGCTCTTTGTGTAGATTCTGGATAGTTACACTTATTTTTGGCTGGTAAAGCAACCTGGATAAAAGTTATTTTTCATTGCTGATGTGGTCAGTGCTACTGCAGAAATACTCTAATAAGAAGGAAAAGGGATTTGTCAGTAAGGTGGGGATTTTTTTGGACAGATTTTGTGAATAAAAGGTGGGCACCCATATAGTCCTGCAATATTTCAGCCCTCACAGGAGCTCTTTTGGAGACACTTAAAATAATTACAGTCACCTGTGTGGGAATGCTTTTATCATTTGGGTTGGGATCCTGGACTTGCTGGATTGGGTTTTTTTCACCGTATAATCAGTAACAATTACTTCTCGTTTAAACTGCTGCTGGAATGCCTGAATCACCATCACTTTTTTAAAGCATGCTTGTTAATATAGTTTATGGAAGTTACAAACTGCAGTATACAGAAAACCTGCACCGTCTTAATAAAATACTTTTCAGACTGGCAGCAGAAAGTTAAAACATACAGCCATGCCCTCATACAGGTATTGCAGGTGTGAGAGCAAACAGCAATCTTTGTGATATGAAAAGGGTCTTTGTCCCTCAAGAAGTCCTTAGAGAAAATAGGTGACATGTTGAAAGACCTGCCCAAATACCATGGAATTTGCTTCTGTTATAGCTAAAGAGAACACTGATTATTTACCTTCCACTACTGACCTCTCCTTGTCATACAGACGGCGTGTTTCCTGCCTTCCTCTGTGGAAACAGGGAGAAGAACTTTCCCGTTAACGCTGCCTCTATACCAGGAATACTTGATATCTGTTCTGTCAGGTGGTCTATTTGCAAGGCATTTTGTCAAATACAGAATTGTTGCTCTAATAAGAGACTACCACTAACTTTACAAATCTCATGTAGAGTATCATGACAACAATAACACTATTTTTATAAGAACAATGTAACTCCAAGTGTAAAAGATCTGAATTTTGGTTGGCTTTGGTTTTGGAATTGGACAATTTTTGGAATTGTCCAGGTTGGAAGGGACCTCTGAGATCAAGGCCAACCATGAACCTAACACTGCCAAAACCATCACTAAACTATGTCCTGAAGCACCACATCTGCATGTCTTCTAAATGCCTCACCTTGATAAGCCTTTCAGTGTAAAAATTTTTCCTAATATCCATCCTAAACCTCCCCTGGCACAACTTGAGGCCATTTGCTCTTGTCCTGTCACTTGGGAAAAGAGACAGACCTCTGCAACCTCATTTCAGGTAGTTGTAGAGAGTGATAAGGTCTCCTCTGAGCTTCCTTTTCTCCAGACTAAACCTGTCTTTGATGCTGTTTCTACAGTGGTGAGAATGTAACTTCCTACTCAAAAATGTGTGGGGATACATTTTGGAACAACGGTATTTAGTGCCACGTTGCTGTTCTGTTGCTTTTTGTTTTCTCCGATGCCTTGTAGACCAGTGGTGATGCTGCCAATATAGATTTATCTACTATATGATTTTAACTGTCAAGCATAATTTAAATGGTTTTTATCGTTGGATGCTATCCATGCAATCATGTCTTGATTTGAAACAAGGTTTCTTCACCTGTATTTGCCTGGAAATAGAGAGGTGAAATACATTTACTTATTTATTTATCCCCCTACCCTCCTGCCCCTGCTGTTATCCTGAGAAGTTCATTGACACCAATTGTATGTGTTCAGCTCATCAGAAATAACCTTTTTTTTTTTTTTTTTGCTTATGCATCAGCTGGTGCTAGAAATAATTGTATGAGAGTTATGATTCTAACAACAGTTGGAGCTATCACCCTGCAATTAATTACAGCAATACTGAATTTTTGCAGGCTCTCTTAAAAAAATGTTGTTTTGTGTTAGTGCAACTTTCCATTGGTTAACATATGTGGCGTTTTGGCTGCCTGCAAGTCAAAGGTTTTGATGAATTACTAGCAGTATTGTTTAAATTGCAGGCACCTGCCTAAGAAGGTGGAGTACAGCATGTGTCACCTGTCTTCAGGACTGCTTGTAATGAGCTGAAATTGGGGAGGAGAGTGACTACATCAAGTAGGACTGACACTGCTGTACAAAAAGCTGGAATAATGACACTGGCAAGGTCAATGTTGTGAATTGAGGGATTGCCTGCCAATCGCCCACTAGAATTTATAATTTAAGGGTGGTTTTAATGGAGTGAGAGGAGATAGGCAAACACATCTTTCAGCATCGCTGAATGCTTGAGGTACTGTCTTCACTACCTGATGACAGTCAATCTTGGACAGTTAAATTGATGAGCAGAGATGGTTAAGATCATGTTGTTTATGAATCACATTGCACAGTTCTGCTGTTTTCCTTTAGTTGCTCAGTATGCCAGCTGTCTGAAGCATTTTCATGCATCCTGCTTTTTGCTCCTGCCCTGACTTTGCTCAAGTCCTGCCTATTCCTTGCCTCAGGTACTGCCTTACAGTACTGTCCCCAGCCTTCTCTATGTTTCAGCTTGACTTCTGACCTTGGGCTCATCTTGTCCACCTACTTGGTATGTTTCTCAGTTTCTCTTTACAGACCTTTGGCCCTGCTCCTGACTATTTCTTGCACAGATCAACTTCATACAGCCTTTGAATTTTCAGGTTCCTGTCAATTTACTGAACATGAAAAAATGTGGTGAGAGTAAAGGTCTGTTTTAAAAAGTGGTTATAAAAAGAATATATGAGGAAAGGCAAGTACAGAGCTAACCTTCCCTTGGTATATACTTTCAGCTTCTTACTCGTGACTGAAAGTTTCAATTTCCCTTTAATTGTTGGACTTAGCCACTAAGGGGCCTGGAAGTTGATGTCTTACAGGATCTTAAGTTGCTGTTTAATGTTAAAACAAGAATTCTGTCAGCTTTTTAGTCTGATCCCTAAGGAAGTAAGACTTAATGTGATGGGTTGAAATAGTGATGGCTTCACACATTTGAAAGAAAGCTGATGGTTTAAAAGATACTAAGTTCTGTAAGCTGCATGAAAATAGAGTCTGAACAAAGAGGGGGAAAAAGAATCACCTTACGGCCTGTTTTATATGTATCATATAATTTAACAGGCAGGAAAAATCCATAGGAAACCAAGCTTTCAGTTGTCTCTGTTCTTTTTCAGTATACCATAATAGTTTTTCTTTGCACGTGGGTGTGTTGCTGTTTGTGGTGGTATCCATTTGTAAGGTAACATGCAGTGTGCTATTTTGGAGCTACATTGCAGTAGCTTCCTTTTGGGAAGTTTGTAACAGTAAAGCTCCCTGGTTAACACTTCTTGCCTGTCCAGTTTCCATATACAGATTGCATCAGTGGTTAGAGACTCAAAATTGGTAAGTTGTCTGTAGTCTGTTTCAGTCATACTGCTCTAAGGAAAACCTATCAGCTTGCTTAATTTCATGTCTTCTAAAGAAGACCCTGCTTGCAGCATATCCTCAGATAAGAGCCTCAGAGCTCTGGAATTATCTTGTTCGTTCCTTGGCCTGAAGTAACATGAATTCCATCATTTGACACTAATGTAAAAGAAACCTCAGGGTGAAGGCTGAGGATGTTTGAGTCCTCCTTGCTTTCTTTCACTTGATAATGTTGCTTTTGCTACAGAATAGTAATTTGCAGCAGTAGGGGAAAACTCAGAACTAGCATCACTAAGAAACAAAACAAATAGTTATGAAACCGGGTATGGTTTCCTTTGCATTTTTTATTGCTTGTTCTGGTTTTCTGTTTGTTTTTTTTTTCTATTTTTTAATGTATAGTTGTTTTGTAGTTTCTTCTGGATGGTTTGGTTGTTGTTTTTTTTTGGTGTGTGTTTGGGTTGTTTTGTTTTGTTTTTTTTTTTACCTTCCCACAGCAGTAAACCCAACAGGGCCATGATGATCTTTGCTCCCCTGGCAAGCATTGTTCTATGGATATTGTCTAAGAGCAGGCATGCAGGAAGAAATGCAGGACTATGGTAGTTCATATCTGATACACTGTCTCCTAAGCTTTGGCAACTCATGGGATAAAAGCAGTATTTCAGAGGCTGGCTGAATGTTTGGGAACTTGCTATAAGGTGTGATGGATTAGTTTCACAGAACCAGAGAGGGATTTTGGTGAGTTTCTGGCTAAACTGCCACTGGGGTAACACCAGAACCAGCAGCTTTTGTAGACTACGGGACTAATTCCTTACACTTTTTTTTTTTTCTTCACACTTTAAGCACTGGCTGATCCATTAATGCAGCAAGTCTGTCCTTGACAAAAGAAGATTATACAACTAGTGTCAGCGAACTCATCTCACAGTGGTTAGAAATATGAAAACTATTTTATATTTGCATTTGAGGCAGATAGAACAGCAAATGATGACTCTTGAACCTTCAAATAAGATTAAAAGATACAAAAATGATAAAAAGGTACTTGAAGACAACCAGCTTAAATAAAAGTGTGAAGTAGTATATTTGAAGATGCTTCTCTTGTAGCACATTTTGACACTGCAAAAGAGTTGTATATGCTGCTTACTACTTTGTAAGTGAGCATCTGTGTCCTTGTGACAGACATGCATGGAGAGGATATTGTGGATTGATTTCTGATTCTTACTTAGGCTCACTTTGTGTCTGGCTATGTGTAAGAGGTTTCCTACTAAGTCAGGAGAAGGCTGTCTGAGACCTGATTCATGTAGTGTAAGGAACAGGCAAACAGGTGACAGCTCAGAAAATAAGCATGCTTTTTCTTTTGATGATGCTTATTCCCAGAAAAGATAACACAATCTGTGTATGGAAAAGCTTTGATGGTGTACCTTCAGTGAAGCTGGGGTATCACAGAAGACAAAAGCTCTAAAGACGGTGGTAGTTTGGCCTACAAGATGTTTTTTGGAAGCACTTGCATAGGGAGATTTCTGCTACTTTGCTGGGTTGAGGATGGCTATAGAGTTTGATTTTTGTGGTAGGAAGAAATGACCTGTAGTCAGCCACAGCTGCTTTGTTGCAGAAAACTATGCATAACACGTACAATTGTTTTAAATTATCTTTGATGTATGTGTATTGGTCAATTAAAAATTGAACAAGTACAAAGTGCCAAAATTGTGCAAATGGCTTTCCTCGCAGGAATTCATGAAAATATTTCAATGAAACTGCCATAACTCAGCTTAGTATTTAAGTTTGCAGTGTAATATAGTAACGTAATTATGCATTCATACCAAAGTTTTTGTCCAGAGAACTACAGGGCAAAAAATGTTCTTCAGTCAAAGGGGAAATAAAGGCTGGTTTGCTTGTTTTTGTTTTCTTTCCTCTTCAGCTCTAATCAAATACATCCGACCAGTATTTGTATCTCGCTCAGACCAGGATTCTCGCAGGAAAACTGTTGAAGAGATTAAGAGACGTGCTCAGTCTGATGGTAAATGGCCACAGGTACTGTATACTACTCCTGTGTGACAGATGGTATTTGGCATTTCCAGGATTTGGATGTGCAGTTTATTTTTTTTCCTTGTGGGATGCTTTAGATGGTTTGTGGGGGGTTAGGTGGGTGGGATTTCCCACCCCTTTCTAGAAGATATAATGTAGGGTTCTTATCTGAACAAAACACTAGCTTTTCATTGCAATATGTTTCAAGGGGAGACTGGGTAAGTACATGGGAAGGCAGCTCTATTTAATGGTAATAAATGGACAGAACACAGAAGGTTTAGAAAGTCTCTGAGTAGAGAATGATCAGGTGCTCAGCAGAGTACCTGGGGGAGTATTGTGTGTTCTTACCTTTCTCGAAATTTTTGGCATACTCTCATTGTTGGAGATGCAATACTGGCCAAGACAGCCCAAGCAATTCAGATGTTCCAAGAAATGCAGTACACTTCTACTGGGCCACGTGATGAAAAGATTGCTGGAATAAATGGCTCGAGTTTTTTCTGCACCTGAAATGTGACTATTTATAATGTACTTTGGAATAGAGTAGTAGGAAGGAAGGGATGACTACCTAAGGTCTCAATTTTCTAGAAGCATGTGATTGTTTTGAAAACTTGAAGTATTCTTCTTGTGAATTTTTGAGATTAAGATACAGTATGTCTTTCATGACATTGTTGCTACTGCAGTGGTTATGTCCACATACTGGGCTACAAAGACATTATAAACAGTTACAAATAATGTGGTAGAAAGGTGGTACATAGCTTTCACATCATGACTTTCATCAACAGATTTAGGACTTTTCTGTAAGTAAAAATATTTACTTTTTGAAAGAAACTGAGTTGCAGAGCTGAAATGATTTCCAGAATATCTAGCAAGCTAGTACCAGAGTGGGCAATAAAAGTAGTAATGTCAATTCTAGTCCATTGCTTTGTGCCCTCATGATATATATTTGTTTCCTTTAAATGTCTTGTTTTGTAACTCAACAAAATTTCAGTTCTTGGCTTTTTTGCTGTCTAAAACATTATTATTTTTTTGACAATCTAACCTCATCATCTGAATATAGTTCAACTTGAGCATTTTTACCTCATTATAATTCAGTTTAGATATTTCCAGCCTCTATCATTCTGACATCTGTGCATATGCCAAGTAATAAATGCAAAAAGAAAATAACAATCTTCCTTTTCTTAGCCTGTAAGCATGTAGCTTGGGAGCAGGGATTTCATTTTGGTGCAAAACAGAATATGATGTTTTTACCGGCACCGAAACCTTTTGTGAAAATTCTCTTGTACTCACAAGTGTTTCTGGTCACTGTCGATGTTCCAATAGAAAATAATTATTGTCAGAGGTCAAGAAAGAGGCAAATTCACAGATAAAGGGAAATATTTTTACCATTAGGACAAAACTTTACTTGACTTCTTTATTGAGCACTATTTTTTTTTTTTCCACTCTAACTGAACTGATTTTCCCTGGAAACTTTTTTGCTATAATCAGTTAATGTTAGCTTTGAAAAGATGTGTTTATAAATAAATCCACATTGAAATAGTTCTTAAAAGTCAACTTTTTTTTTACTTCAAGATAATGATATTCCCAGAAGGCACTTGCACAAACCGATCCTGTCTAATTACATTCAAGCCTGGTAGGTATGATGCTCATTTCTCTGTTCTCTACAGAATGTTCTTGTATCTTCATTTTCTGAAATACCACTTGCATTGTAATTTGCTTGCTGTTGTAGAAGTTGAGTTAAAAATCTTGCAGTAGTGTGGAATTGGAATAAAATTTTTCTGATGCTACAAAAGGATTGTAGTTCTACTGTTGAGCAAAACACTTTAGATAATTCAGATTTTTTTCTTTGCTTCTGGTCTAGAGGACTAATGTTTCTTACTGGGTTTTTGTTTGTGGTTGTCTTTTTTTCTTGCCCCCTCCATTTCCTATTTTGAGTCTGTCATGCAGCCTTCAGATACATTAAGCTTTACAGTGTATCAGCGTGTATCTATTTCAGGCTGCTGCAGCATTTGCTGCTGTGTTGTATGTGGTTGATTCCTCTCCAGCTCTTCTGTTGAGTTGCATTCTGGTGAAGATCACAAGAATCTTGCCAGTATAGCACTATTACAGAGGCTGTCATTATTTTTTTTTTACAATATATTTTTATTTAACATCTACATTCTAGGCTCTTTTTGGTTAGTATCACCCTTTAGTCTATCAGATTAGCAGAGAGTATAACACTGAACATTGTTGCAGCTGTAAACTGCAGTTACAGTAGGGAGAAATGCCAATGCTGAGCCACCAATGTTTAATGGAGACTTGCCTTTATGATGTAGGTAGGGAAATGGTGAATGAGGAGGCTCCAGCAAGCAAGGCAGTTGTGAATGTGGTTTTTGACTCTTCCTAGGTTTCTGCCTAGCTCATTGTGTTCTGGTCTCACTGTGTGTCTTGTATTTTGTGTTGCTTACAACTTACATATTGCTATTAGAATATCGTACAATGAGTCAGCTGCACTGATTCATTTGGCTGAAGGAATCTCAGGATTGTCTCCTGAGCAAACATTCAGAAAGCTTTTCTTCCTCCCTTCTCAGCTCTTACCTTTTTAGATGAATGAGTGGTGGTTAGGAGAACATCCGCTTCTTTCACTCTTTTCTCTCCCTCTCCTTCTCTTTCCATCTGAATCCTGACCATGCTTTCAAAACCAGTCTCAATCCTTCATTAAAGCCCTGATTTCCTGCCCTCCCTCTGTGCCATAGACATTCCAGGCATCATATACTTTCTGCCTCAAATTCCCACTCTGTCTTTCTCTCCTCTAGTATAGTACATGCTGCTGTCTGCCTCTTGACTGTCTCACTTTCTTACTGAAACCTGCTTCTCTATCCATCCAGCTTCCCAGAAATCTTATACCTCACAATTCTTCACTTACATCAAATTTCTTTAGGTCTCTATTAAAGTAACTGCTTTCAGGATGCCTTTCCCCATTCTACTTCTGTGATCTACACTCCTTGCTCTTACTACACAGTTTTTTGGTTTTGTGTTTGTGCAAGCTAGTCATACAGGGGAAGCTAGTCTAGTTCTGTTTAAATAGTGGTGTTGTCATCTACCACTCAGATTTTGTCATCTTTGGATTCTTTCAAAAGTTGCTTAGGCTGTTGTTCTTGGACACTGAATAGAAAGTACCTCTGGGCCAAGAACAAAATCTCTGCAGGCTCCCATTAAGACAACCTTCATTTAAAGATGTTTATACTTCATCAACAATTACTTCTATTACATCTGGGCAATTATTCTGTAAAGCAAATGTAATGCTAAGAATAGAGTATACTTCCATTGTTGCTTTCTTAATCAAAATATAAGGCAGAACTTCGTAAATTGTTGTAAATAACATAGTTTGAGCAAAGCTGTCTTCATTAATTGTTTTCATGAGAAAAAGATATTTAGAGAAATCTTGAGCAAGATGGTTGTCATGCTTACCCAATCTTTGTGCTAGAAACCAAGAAAATGGCACTGAGAGATCAGATTTATTGGAACTATAATTTTCATATGAAATGAAGTGATATTTCTGTACAATAGCTTTAGTTCAATACTTTCTATTAGATTTTCTGTAGCTACAGAATAGAAGTTGTATGAATTCTGTTATTTCAGAGAGGATAAATTTCCTATAAAATGATGTTGCTTAGCTAAAAATAGAAAGGTTTTGTTTTTTTTTTTTCGCAAGAAAAGTTTAGTTCTTCACCATAAAGTACTGTTGACCACAGGGAATATATTGACTTAACTATCTTGTACATCCTCATATTTTTTTAACTATTTATTAAGTTGAATTTTGTACTGGACTTTGACTTGTGTAGTTGATAGTTTATGTAAGTGCTAGAGGATAATTTAAAGAATGTATATAATTAAGAATGCATGCTTATCTGTTGGAAAGGTCGGTGTACATTGTCATTCTCCAGTGCTTGGTTTTTAGATTACTTTTGAGGCTACTTTTAGATCTTACTTTTTCACTATTAACTAATTCCTATGCATATCAGCCTATCAATTGTATAATTTTTTCTTTGCTGCAATAAATTTCTACTGTACCAAAATGCACTATAAAGTAATTATGTGTCATATGTGCCTTCTAGGAGCATTTATTCCTGGAGTTCCTGTACAGCCAGTGGTTTTACGTTATCCGAACAAACTGGTAAGTTCAGCTTGCAGTGAAAATATGGGGAATTTCTGTAGTCTTTTAGGTTAGATAATTAAGTTTAGAACTTTGGAAAGCATAAATAAATGCTTATTGGCTAAGTGTGTATTCCTTAAGCCTTCAGCAATATCGATAATCTTAACTGAAACAGTTTAAATGTTTCTGCTTTTACTAGGTTACTTATAAACAGTGCTCTGAAAGTTATTCAGAATGTTACAAGAAGTACTGTAGAAATGACAACACAAATCATAGAATGGTTTGGGTTAGAAGGGACCTTTAAAGATCATATAGTTGCACCCCTCTGCATTGGGCAGGGACACTTCCCACTAGAGCAGGTTGCTCCAAGCCCCATCCAGCCTGGCCTTGAACACTTCCAGGGATAGGGGATCTGCAGCTTCTATGGGCAACCTGTTCCAGTGCCTCACCACCCTCAGAATAAAGAATTTCTTTCTAATATGTAATCTAAATCTCTTTCAGTCAATTTCTGTCTGGCATCTGTGTTCCAATGTGCTCCCTGTTACTGCTAAAGTGCTGGAGACTTTTCTTAATATTAATTGCTGGAAGATGCTTCTGCATCTCCTGCCTGTGGGAGTGTTAGTCACAAGTTAACAGAACTAGCTACATAGTAATGGAATAATGTATTGAGGACCTCAGCGCCTTTATAAGGTTTCTTGTTGTCCGTGTCTTACATTCACTGTGAGCTTAGCTAAGGAGTGCTAGACACTAGCTGATTTGGAGTAGTTCTTCAATATATATCAGATTCAGGTAAAATGCAAATTATAGTGTTTATTTACAATATCTGAATTAACCAATTTTTACAAATACATGTAAGGATACAGGCAAACAAATTAAGACAAAACTCACTTCTACTTCAAGATCAAGCCTACAAGAAAGTAGAGAAGAGGGATTTTGTCTTTTTATTATTATTCAGTTTACCCTGATGTAGATACTTTCCTGTCATACTGCAACCAGAATCCTGTCTGTCTGCATTCCTCGGTTCATTAGAAGATGCTTCCTAGTGAACTTTTCTAGCTTTTATACTTGCAGTTTCTTTTTGAGCCCTCTGGAAGTGTTTTCAGGTCCTGTCTGTCCTCTTCTCAAATAGAAGTTTAGGGGAGGGTGGGAGGAGTGTCAGAAGTAAAATAAGGACTACCTTGCCTCCTTGCTGATGCATGTCATATCAGAAGATCACATGTCATCTCTCTTTGAGCCCATTAACAAGTGCTTGATCTAAGGAAGGATTTTGTTTCCTCTTGGTCTCTGAATGCTTAGGCTTTATAAGTGTTTCCATCCATTGTTCTTTCTGTCAATTTACAGGTTGATATAAAACATAGATTTGATTAGAAATGAAAAGAACTTAAGTAAATTTAAAATTCGGAGACCACAGAGACAAGGTGTGATGGCAGTCAACTAGTTTGCAGTAACAAACCAAAAATTATCTTTGCAAATGCTGTGACAAGTATAGCAGCCTGTTGTGCTCACATAATATTAAATGCATTGTAGCAGGTTGCGTGGGACTTCTATAGAATCATAGAATGGTTTGGGTTGGAAGGGACCTTAAAGATCATTCCAACCCCCATGCCCTGCAGGGTTTCACATTACATAATTGTTTTATTTGCAGGAAGAAAGATCTTCTCTGAAAATATTTTAAACTTCTATTGCACTGCCAGTTTAAATTGCAAATATGCACGTGCCTTATGTCATCATTACGTAAGATACATATATCTTGTATCTTTTGGTTATTATTAAACTTATAAAGCTATCAAATGTTAATTTCCAAATATCTTCAAAAATCCATTATTGTACAGAAATGTTCTTATTGCCTGTAGTACATAATATGCAGTGTTTGTAAACTAATATTAGATGTTCTTATACGCTTAACAGAATTTTTTGCATTTAAGTCCTTCAATATAAATTTTAATGAAAATTTTCATAAGTTTTTATATTATAATATAAATTATAATATAATTAATATTGTAAAAGAAACTGTAAGTATTTATATAGATATCCATCAGAGTTAGCCTGAATCTGTGTATGGAACTTTACTTTTTCCTAGTACTTTTGATTGCTTTTCCTACTACTTCTGATTTACTAAGTAAAACACTTAATTTTCAGTGCCATACTGAGTCATTTAACCTCCTAATGTCTACTTCCACGAAACATTAATGGGGGGGAGGGGGTGATAATTGCTCTTACTATTTGCTTTTTAGATTAGCTTGGGGGCTGCAGAAGAGTTGCAGCAAAGTTAGAATGAGGAGAGGAAGAGGGAGTATGATGTGATATATGAAAGTGAGGTTTATTTTGGTTAGGATGCAGTTAACAGGTAGCAAGTAAGAGCAACGGAGTAGGGAGGGAATATTGTTTTTCATACACTAAGACAGCATTTCAAGCGAATTTTAATTGTCTCTGGCTTCCTATTTGTTGTCTTGTTTGACCACTGCATATTATAATTTTAGGTTTAGAAAGGAATTTGTTATTAAGATCTTTGCTTTGTCAGTGAATTCTGGATATGCATTGTGTGCAGTCATCCCACTGCTTTCAGCTTGAACTTGCTCTGATTTACCTTCAGAGCTCTGAGCTCCACAGTACAGAGGAGAACAGTCTTGGACTTGAGTGCACCTGACTCTTTTGGGGAGGCTTTTTGAGATCAGTGCCTGGGGTGACTACTAGGTGTGTGCACTGTTACATGTTTATTTAATTGAACTGTATTCAAGAACTGGGGAAGGTACTGCTGTTCTGAAGTGGACTGAAACACATGGAAAAAGTGATGTAAATTTAGTTTTTTTTCTAGAAAATAAATCTGGTTCTGGTTGCCGTGAAGAACTCTCTTTCTAGTCAGGGTTGTCCCCTGGTTACCTTCCTTCTTCAGGCTTATGAGTGTTTGCAGTAGATGATGCCTGTGGTCCTGTATCAATGTTTCTTTAGGAGTGGAATGTCAGTATGTTGCACCTCTTAATGCATGAGCAGAAAGAAATTGTAAAGCTTTTAAATGTTGTTTAGACCTGGAATTCAAAATTTGCTTCAGTTTATCTAGTATTTTGCCTATTGGATGCTTGACAGCTATTACATATATTCTGATTAAAATAAATGCTCTAATGTCTCCATCCATAAGTTCTACAGCAATACTTTTTGCAAGTCATTTTTACACCAGTTTTCTTCAGGTATACAGCTTTTCCTTCATTTGAATTTTCTGTCAGAGTCCTGGTAATTATGAAAGGCTGAATACTTGTTTAAATATCACAGAGTGATTTCAAATTTATTTTTATGTCCAAGTGTCTTCCACAGGTAACTGTGCTATTTGATGTTATTTTTATGTCCAAGTGTCTTCCACAGGTGCTATTTGATAAGAGGTTTTGCAGCATCTCTTGTGCAACTTTGGTGTATCAATGTTGACTGAGCATGTGAAAACATAGGCAATCTGCTGTTTGAAGCTTGGCATAATTCTCAATGTCGTCTTGTATTCTTGTGTCATATACAAATTTTACAGAAGATGTACGTCCACACAATTTGGAGGATTTATTACCTAGATGCAAAAGTTTCCAAGTGTCCTCAGAATGCTATCAAAGTGAATGTTCTTCATAAGCATAAGCTGGTAGCTGTGATAAATATAAAAGATATCTAATCTAGGTACGGAAAAACACCACTTCCTGTCTTCTGGTTGTGGTTTTTGTCATAAAAAATATTGGATATGCTGGCAGGAATTTTTACAAAATAGGTCTGCCTCTTGCAGACCAGAATCCTGTTTGCCGCTATGTAGCATTTGTAGCTGTTCTCCCTCCTGCATCCTGATGTTCTGGCTGAGAAAAAGCATGCATGTCTGCTGTGACATTCACACTGTGAGTTTCTTGCAGGATTGTTGATAGGTTCATGGCGGCTTTGAGCTTGTCTTGCCAGCCAGCCAGCACGGTGGCTGGATGCTGAAAATACCTATTCATTGTTTAGTGATCCATTGCCCAGGCAAGGTACCTTTATCGAGCTCACTTTCTTCCCCTTCTCCTTCTGCAGTGTTGCAATTTAGAGAGCTGAGTTGGGTATGTGTAGTGCTGTGGTGGTGTTCTGTATGGCAGATCTAGTCTCTGATTAGAGAAATTATCAGCTGTCTACACTGCAGTGGTCAGGGCTTGTAAATCAAAGTTCCTCGTGGAAAAAACGAACCTCATAACGTATTTACTTGCAGTATTATCAGAAACATCAAAATTGCCAGAAACAGTTTAACAGTAAAACTATAGACATGAAAGTTCTACAAGATCGCTACATGGAGAAGTCAACTTTCATGCATGTATGTTGATTGATAGGTATAAAATTATTCTTTTATTGTATTTTGTTTGATTTAAAAGAATTGTTGGAAGTCAAGATTTAAATTTTTAGTAGTCCTTCATGATGTATTGACCTTACTCCAGGCTGTTGATCAGTCATGTTAATAACTTTTTTCACCTTTTATGGGTGTGTTGCTTTCTTTCATTTTCACTTGTGACAGCCTTTTGCTCTAAACGGTAATTAAATGTGACCCTTGTCCTGATTTTTGAAGATCATGGCACATGTAATCACCTAAACTCTCTAAAGTGGTTTTGGATGGTAGCATAGAACTGAACGGAATCTACTGAACACTTTCAGTAGATTGATAGAAATATCTTTCTGGTCTTCTAGAAACCTGAATTTACCAAGTCCTCTTGTCTTTTCATTAATAACTTACACATTATTTTCCCAGTTAGTCAAAACAGTAACTTGGAACTCATTTTCAGATTTTGGGATTCTTAGTTCTACACATAAATGTCGTCTCCAAGTATTACTGCTTTTTTTCTATGCTGTTTCTTAGTCTTACAGTTAAAAATGTGATGACCTTTACTGTCATATTCCTTCTTGTCACCTGTTACATACTCCTTTCCAAGTTTCTGTTCCCTTTTTGGTATTTGCATCTTGTTCACTTGCACTGCTATTTATCCTCTCAGTGTTTTACACACTGTTCATCTCAGCCATCTAAAAGCACTGCTGGTTTTGCCTGAGATAAATTGCTTGGTTTGGTAATGAACTTTTGATGTTGAAAAACTTTTGATATTCTGAGATTGATAACGAACCTTTTGGTTATTGGATCAGGCAGGTGGATGTATACTGTCCTTGAGTAAAGGCAACTGGAAAAATACTGTTTCGGGGTAAGACGTAAAGTCTTACTCGTCCTACTGCCTCGTGTCAGTTGAGCAGACTTCCCTTCAATCATCTCTGCAGGTCCCAAACACTTCAGAAGTGTTACGGGGTGTTCATATCTGTTGCTGGGAGGTCCAGGTAAAGTGTAGGGACACTTGAAGGGAAACCCTGTCAAACAGGATGGATTAGGAAAATACACATGGACTATGCCTATCATGGATCATTAGCTTACACTAAATAACTTTCTTTTCCAAGGCTAACATTGTTTGAGGAATCCCTGGATCTTTAAATGTTTGATAAATATAGATATTCTGTGTTTAAGAGCTAGGTTGCTGGGTATTTCCTGGCTATGTAAAAGGTAGGCTGATTCCTACTAGGGCTTAGAACTTTTGCAAAGAGAACACTGAGGTTTCCAAGAGACTGTTTTAGTCATGTGATATCAGTTACTCTATCTATAACAAAACGAAAGTTTAAAGTGCAATAATTGATTGCAACTGTCATGCTTATTTTCTTAGGATACAATCACGTGGACGTGGCAAGGGCCAGGAGCGTAAGTGATTTATGTTTTAATTGCTTATATTGTGATAGCTTTCCTTCAGTAGTTTTTATTTACATGTCTTATAGGTGTATATAGTCAAGTAGTAATTGCTGGCTATTGGATTATTCTTTGGGATTAATTTGTGTCTTTTATCTATTATTCCCTAATTATGCTAATATTCAGTTAGAGGAATCCAGGTACAAAGTGTAATTCTGCTGCTATGATTTTGGTGGTTTGTAGAATGAATTTTAGGTTTTTATTTCAAACTGGGGGGTTTTTTGGTGTTGGGTTTTTTGTTGTGGTGTTTTTGTTTTTAGCCAAGTACCTGAAGTAAAACAACTTGCTTCTGCTCTACGTATTTTATTGCCTGCAAGTTGATTTGGTGTGTTTCTGTATAAAATCTGTATGGCTATCATTGGAAATTGATCATGTCCCACAGAAACAGTCAACCCACTCAGGAAATTTGGAGATACTGTTTCCATTATCTAGCCTGAATGTAACTTTGATTTTATTTTTTTTTTAAACAAAATGTTATTCAGAGGTTTGTTAGCAAATTCATGTAATGTAAAATTCTAAATGAAGCAGTTCTTGCTGGTTTAAAAAATATATTTTTTTAGCATTATTTTCATGTTGGGTTGGAGTAAAAATTTAGAAATATTTAGATGAAGATCAAGGAATTTTGAACCCTAAGTAGAGGGGAGTTGGATGATGTGGTTAATGGCTTGCCATTAGCCTCTTCCTTGGGAATCTCCTTTGAGATCATATGTATCTTAGTAGTGACCATTGGGATTAGCCAAGATTCAAGTAATTTACAATTTTGTCAATAAATTTTACATCTTCAAATGGACTGCGAACCAAGTCTATTTAAGGACAAGTCTAGATTTGGAGACTCGAGGAACTCATTGTTCACTTCTAAAGGTTCAGCTTTCAGTTAAATAGTCGCGTTGGAAGTAGAGGAATCCATGGTAATGTCTACAGTAAGTAGTACTGCAGCATGTACTGTATGCTGGGATTTCTCTTCTCTCCTTGTGAGTTCCTGCCTCTTCTTTTGCATTTCTACTGCAGTTCATCAATCAAATCAACTCAGCCAGAGGGGAGATAAGCGAGTAGCTTACTTCCAGCGTAGTGTCCTACCTGAGGAGTCAGGAACACATTGAAGGAGGAAGAAAAGGGCAGGAACTTGTAGATGTGTTGCCTCAGATCACTTAAATATGTAGAAAACCCTTATTTGGAAGTGCTGACCTCTACTAATAAAGTTAAATTAAATTAAAGCTGAATCAGAATCTGAAGCAGCCTGTGATGTTATGCAAATTCACTGGGTCAGTTTAAATTACAGCTTTACTTAATTAGGATTAATTCTCCTAAGTGATCTAAAATGTATTTCTTATGTCTTAGCAGAAAATACAGTTGAGACTGATACAGTCTTCACTTTCTCAACAAACGTCTCTCTTCTTCTGTCACAGTGTTAGCCAAAACTTAATCTGGAAATGATGATGTACCCAGGAGTATTCTCTTCGTTCAGAGTTGTTGTAGTCTATAAAATGGATTGAAAACTTGTCACGTGGAAACTATATACTTTCTTCTACTTATGCAAAGTAATGTTTTTACTAGTTTGGCAGTATTCAGAGCAGATCAACTGACTCTACCTTGAAAACAAAGATTGAACTGTAGCATACAACTTAAATTTTCTCTACGTCAGACTTGAGTTAGATACAGGTTCTATCAGTTTTTTTAATTGATATTTATAATTTAAGGTTTAATAATTAAGGATTACAAGAATTGGTAGAGAGAAAAGTTTACTTGTAACTTACTGAGATATTTTAATACTCTTGGACAAGGACCTAGAAACCAGACTTCCATGTTTCCTGTAAGTGACGTGAACTCCAAATAACAGCTTCCACTGTTGTTGCTCCTTTTCTTTGCTTTAATGTGCTGGATCATCAGTAAGATGGAAAGAAAGGGGAGAAAATAGTGTTGCAGCCTTGAATAAATGTATAGCAAAATGAGTAGGATGTTGCTTCTAGGAACTGCACTTTATCTGCCTAAGAGGATTTTGACCAGCCCTCCCCTCGCAGTGACTGACCACTGTAACTACCTAGATAATGTATAAAATGTGGCTACTGACGCTGCTCCCTAATTTAGGTTTACTAAATCCTTTCCTGGATTTGAATCTTACTGCTTTCTAAGGTCAGGTTTATTCTGGTATCTTGTGTCTTAGGCTACTAAAACACAGGTACTGCATTTCATTAACAGACTTCTGAAGTATAATGAACTTTGATTCCAAACCAAGGTAATGATAAGATCTTAGTGGTTATAATTAATGTTGCCAGTTCTATGCTGAATATAACATTTTCCTGAAACAGACTTGCTCTTTCTTTACACGCTATCTTACTATATGTATTAGTACCTGTATATCAGGTTACTGCTTGTCTTCCTGCTTTTGTATATCTTTTAAGATGCAAATTCAGTGTAAATTGCTTTTGTTCCACCTTACATAGTGTACTGTACAGAAGTACTCTCAAAGACCTTTTCTATTAATTTTGTATCTGAATATGATCATACCTACAAATAGGAATGTCACTTAAAGACTTTGGAGCATAATGTACTACCGTTTCACTCATGTAAATTTTTTTCCTCCATTTTTTCTCTCTTTTAGGTTAGAAATTCTATGGCTTACTTTGTGTCAGCTTCACAATTCTGTGGAAATTGAGGTCAGTAAAAAAACCCCAATGTATTCTGAGCAGTATCAGAATACATAATTTTGTATTTAATTCTGCGGTAAAATTTTGTTACTTAAATTTGTATGTTAACACAGTCTGTAAAAACAGGTTAAATGGCGCTTATATTTTAGACAAATACCTTCTGTATCTGAAAATGTAGCCTAAAACTGGAATAACAAAATACAGTTTCCTACTTGCCTTGAGACTTTACTTTCTTCTTCATTTAAATTGAGTAGATAAATTTCTCAGTCTGTTTAAATAGTCTTCTGTGAACAAATTTCTTATCTTTTAAATCGCCTGATTGCTATTTGAGCTAGTACACTAGCTGTGTGTGTTAAATAATCAAGTGTGTGAATGCTGATGTACAAACTAGGGACTATCTTCAAGAGAAAAATTGTAGTAAGTAGCTTCTTATAGGCCAGATAGGTTATTTAATGTCTGGGTAATTTTTTTTTTCTATTAGGCTGTACTGTTCTGAATGTGAATTTGGAAAACACAAAGAAAATTTAAGTTTATGTATATTCTTAACTTTGTTTTGAGGAAAACACTATGTGATCCTAAGGCTGAAGACTCTTTAATTGTTTTTGCGTTTTCACTACAAAACTTTTCTTTTAAATTGCTGCAATTATGCATTTTACACAGAGTAATTACATTTTTGTGAAGTATGGTGCTTTAAAGGTCTTATATAGGATATTTGACAGATGTTCTGCAGTTCTTTTGCTTACATTTTTAAATAATGAAGCAGCTTCTTATCTCTTACTGATGACAGGGTAAATTAGTAAGAAGAACTATTACATATTTACAAACACATGTATGTTACTATTGTAACATATACTAATCACAGTATTTACCATTGCTATGCTCTGTGTTCACTTATTTATGCTATAAATTCTTCTCAAAAATAATGAATGCACAAAATCCCAGCCACTATAGCCATTTCTATCTCTTGTAGAAAATTGTGATGTTTTATCACTTTAGTTGCATGTTTTCAGCTATTAATAGTATATTAAAAATAAATAAATAAAAATTTTATTTCCAAAACAGTGGCCTCTTTTTGGTAGAAGGGCCAGGGAGTGACTGTCTGACACAGAGATAAGACAAACCAGCTGATTGGCAGAATTTTTACTCTATCTGAGGAACATAACTTTCTGCCTTAGGCAAGTAAAATGGCTTCTTTCACACAGAAGTGAACACTGCTGAGCTTTCTTGATTTTTTTGAGACAGCAGATGCTGAGTTTCTGTAGCACATACAGAACTTGCACAAGGACAAGTTACGATTTTTTTTTTTTTTTTTTTTTAAGAAAAAGGCTAGCGACTTTCTGAAATACTCTACTAAAGCAGGAGCTGGCAGAGGGTGGAAGAGCAGAGTTGTTGCGAGGCTGCTCGCAAGTATGAGGCAGAGTACTTGAGAGCTACTTTTTCAATCTGTTTTTGTAATGAAGTGCTGCATATTTAGGAACATAGAGGAAAAATGAATTGTTCTGTGTTCGAAGTCATGTTTTTCCCCTGGTTTCCAAATTTTATTGGCTTTTATTCCTGCTTGGTTCCATCAGCACAAGGATTCTGGCAAATACCAACCAGCCTTGATACCAGAATTACTGCTGAAGATCCAATTACTCAGATATACAGAAAAACAATACAACTTCAGTATGGGCTTGATTAAATGATAGCTCATAAGGTCTAACAGCCAGCAATCAGGACCCAGAGTTTGTTAGTCTGGGCTTCTCTGCATGTGTATGTTCTGGCATACCATACATGTCATCCAGCATGTATGTTGAGAAGCAAGCATCTATGTAGATTTTGTAATAGGTTACTATAATTATTGGCCTACACTTCTATCCACTTGGAAATGACATGCAAGCAGTCTTGTGAAGAAGAAAGGGTATGTGATTACCTGCACGTCTAGCTTGTTTTGGCCCATGTCAGTTTGAGGCTTGACAGGCCAGCAAAACAGTGTTCATCCATCCATCACAGTCTGCAGCAGCTGAAAGTTTTTCTCTTATATTTGTTAATGGTGCTGAAATGATGGTGCTATTTCCATTCAGTTAGACACAAACATGTAGAACGCCTCTGAAATCGCCTCATGTTCAAACTTGTCCTGTGCTTGGATGAATGACCTGATAGCAATTTGCAAGTCAAAGAAATAGAATTGGGCTTGGAACTTGAAGAAACAATCTCTCCATTTCTGTTAGCTTCACAGTCTTTGTCCTTTTGTATGTTGCGTCATGTCAGGCTGGTGTACCTGCTTGTAAACATAGAAGTCAAGAGTCCTATGTTTTCAGTTGCAGTGGTGCATATATGGAAAGCTGTAGAAAAACCCAAAATAAGTTAAAGATTTGTCCATCACTGAATACCTCTAAGAAAGAGTTAGAGGAAACATCTAATGGCAGCATTTTAGGTGCTGCTGATAATACTGTTATGCAATTCTGAAGATACCGCTAACTTCATAGTTATTGAGAAGTGTTTGCTTAAATGATAAACTTAATATTTATTCCCCGATTCTTTTTTTTTTTGAGACCAATGTGAAATTTCTGGGTTGTAATTGCCATTTTGTATTACCAATAGGTAATTATATGAAATATAACTAAACTTATTACAAATTTGGTTTCTACTTGAGAAGCCTGCCACAGGTTTATGAACATTTTGCTCATTTAGTGCATAAATTATCTCATTGTATTGCACTACTAAGGGAATTGTCTGTCTATTACTGAGCAAGGATGGAAATCAGAGTGATCCCTTCTTGTTCCTTCTATCTGAGAAGTTAGTTATTTGGTCGGAATGGGACATTTTGAGGGTTTTTATAGGTGGGACTGGCCATGATCTTGGGGCTTGCATCATATTTCAATGAACACTTAAAACCATACCAAAAGCTGGAAGATCTTGCAATATAGACCATTCCATTCTGAAAGCTGCCTTTTCTGTTGCAGGTCTCCAGCAGTTCTGGTTTAATTTTTCTCTTCCAGCCTCAACTGTTCTGTGACTGTGTGGTCACCTGCATTTATTTAGAATTTTTCTTTCATCTGAGTATGAATATATAGTGTCCATTTGAAAGAGAGATTTTTCAAAACATCAACAACAGAAGATAAAAGCACTTCTGATGTGCATTAAGCCATTGTATATGATTTCAAAATGTGCAGGGGAAACAGTAAATACCTGATGTACTTGATATTTAAGCTACAGTGTTCATGTAGCAGGTGCTTTTCTTGGTTATCTGCAAAGAGCTGAACAATACAGGATGTAAAAGTTTGTGAAAGAAATTGCTAATACTTTTAAATAATTTAAAATTCCTGGTCCCACTTATGAAAGGAAGGCAAAGCTCTACTCGGGTTCCACGGGGTAAGAAATGAACAGTGTCACTGTTATATGAATTTCTAGAAGATTAATGCATCCTTAAGCATTTGATAGTTCCATTTTTAACTTTTTTATAAACCCTTTGTTATTATAATTTTGTAAATAGCAACAAACTGTATACATCTTTCACCACAGTGCTATAATAGAGGTTGTTTAAATGTTAAATATTCTTGGTATAATTCAGTTTTCTCTATGCAGTTTCTACCTGTGTATATTCCTTCAGAAGAAGAAAGAAAAAATCCAGTGTTATATGCCAATAACGTCAGACGTGTAATGGCAGAGTAAGTATGTAGCAATAAGTACTAAAAATAGATGTGTGATTTTAATTTTAGCATCAAGAAAATGTCATTAAATCAAGTCAATAAAGTTATGTACTTACAAAGAAGCTCGTACTCTGCAGTAGTATATATAAAACTTTTTATATAGCAGTTACCTTCCTCTCTGAGGAGGCCAGGGAGCCACAAATACAGCATGAACTGTAGGAATTGGTGGTTTTGGGATTATTTTTTTGTAACACATCTTCATATAACAAGCTAGTTCTCCTTGCTGCTGTGGGGAGAAAGGTGTAGTTGAATTCTATGAAAGCTGATGTAACTGAATTTTGTGCTATCGAGGTTGCATTTTAAGATATGACTTCTTAAATGAGTTTAAGAATAGTTTAATGTATTCATTGTTAGCCTGTGGTTATTTCAAATAGTAAAGCACAGGAAAGCTGCTTCTGTTGGAAATAGAGCACTGATACAATGCAAACTAATTGAAGTTGAATGTTAATGAGAAGACACTTAAAACACTTGTCTAACGTGCATAATAAAGTCACCAAAAATACACAGACCTTCATTCCCATACATTGTATTTTGGTTAACCTCTTTTTTTGGTTCCCTTTTTCTCCTTTCAGTAGATGTTCATTTCAGTATTTACAGAGAATCCTCAGGTTTATGATCATTAATAACCCTGGAAGAATTTATGGATCTTTCTACTCCTAATTTTGAAAGAATTTGTGAAATCTTAATTTCCTTTGTGTAACTTCTCTTCAGTTTCTAAGTTACCAGTTTCTATCAAAGGCCAGTTTGTAGATAGAATATGGTAATTCTTCTTTGATATATAAGCGGAATCCAGCTTTTTGAGTTTCTTTAAGGATGTTGGGCCTGTAATATAGCAATAGATCAACACTCGATCCATTGTATGAAAGGACTTTCTCTCAAAACAAATAAACCAGAAGGATCTATGTGAATCAAAGACTTTTTTAGTTAATTTAAGACAATCAGCTGGCACTACATGAAAGCGTTGCCCTCAGACTTTGAGTAGAAGGCTGTGTTGTGAAATCTTAAATCTGAACTCCAATCAAATGGCAGGGATTGTGTGGTATAAGAACAAATTTTGAAAGACGGAAGTTTACAACAACCTGCATGTTGAAAGCCTTCCCTTCTGTGTGTGTTTATTTTCCTCTTCCTTTTTTTTATGCCTCCCACCTCTGGAGGAAAAAAAAAAAAGGCATTTGGGGTAACAAGTGGGATACAGATCTAAAGGGAAAACTGTTGGAATGGGAGATAGCAAATATCGCTTGCTTTGAGATAAAGAAAGGGCTGCAGATCCTGTGTTGATGTGAAAGGAAAATAAATGTCTTTGGATATCAGAGTTCTGAAGTTAAAATGCAGATGGGAATAAACCAGAACACCGACTCCTGGATATTGCGGATTACTGTAGACCAGTTAAAACAACATTAAGATAGCCAAAATCCATTTACTTCTGCTCACTTCCAGATGCTTACTTCTAGTGGCAGGTCTCCAGATCTTCCCAGTTCATTCATATGGCTTCTGATATAGGAGATGCCAGTTGAGATGCTGTCAGCCTGTCCTGGAGCTGTAGCAGATGCTAGTCTAGCACCTCAGGTTGCGCCCCGCATTGCTGAGGACGATATTACTGCTTCATCCAGATTTGTCTCCTTTTCTTGAAGATTGAAGAGGTCAATTCGGGATCTCTCCATCATATTTTTCTGGAAGAACAGTCTGATCCTACTGGATATTTTACAGCAGCAGAAGTGGCAGTGCCAGATAATAACGCATTTATGAGTCTAGAACCAGTATTGCAGCAAAGCCTTGTCTCTTGCCTGTGGTTACAAGGGGAATTGATAGAACTTGCTGAGTGCAACAACAGATATGATTTCCGCTCCTGAAATCTGTTTGTCTTCATCATAATCTTGTCTTGTGAACAACTTCTGTTAAGTGTTAAACAAAGCACTTGACAGGATTCTTATTCTGCTTCTACTTGTTGAGTCTATGGAGTTGGTTTTGCTTTATTTGTTTAGATTTTCTGTGGGCAGCCACATATGCAAGTGATTGGGATCTCTAGATAGTTCCTGTTCACTTACATGTGAACTGAACATTTGATAAAGGAGATGCTGTCACTTACAGAGGTTTGCTTCCTTAGGATATTAGATTCTTGCAGGACAGATGAATTTATTTGCCCAAAAAGTGAAATCCAAAGTGAACTTTGCCTTTTGGCGCTCTGTTTCAGGCCAGGGACTTTGAGTATAACTGTTCTCCTATGCTCTGGTTTACCTTAGGCAGCCATTCAAGAACAAAGGAAATGTCATTTTTTTAATTGCTGCAGTGCTCTTTATTGTATTCCTTCTCATCTAGGATGACAAGGATTGTATAATTTTGAAGATGCATTCAAGTGGTAACCTACCATTTGTATCATTCATGTTTTCTGCTGCCATATTCCATCCATTTGAGTATGAACACACTGGTTTGTTTTGCCTGGACCATGTTGGGGATGATCGTCTCATTGTTGTGAACATTGTCACCAGAAGTTACTAAGCTTTGATTACTATTCTGCAAGCACCTTTTCCTGCTGCTTTTCAGGGCCTCATTTCAAAGACTCTTTTTTCTAGACTAAACCTAGTTTGTTTTAATTAATACAAATGTAATACGAGCTGACATCTTCTTGATTGATGGTGCTTCAGTATTTGTGCATAGCTCTGTCACCAAATTCCACAAGAATCCAGGTGGTATGTTTCCATTTTGTAAAGGATACTGTCATGGTAGAAAATGAAGTGAAGGCTCACAGCTTCTACAGACCTTTTGGTTGCACCTGTGGCTATTGGCTTTCACTGAATTTCACTGAATTTTTAGAGTTGGAAGGGACCATAGAGATCGTCTAGTCCAACTCCCCTGCTAAAGCAGGATTGCCTGGAGCTTGACAGAGCATGTTACTCAGGACTGCATCCAGGTGGGTCTTGAAAATCTCCAAAGATTTGGAGATAATGCTTCCTACTTGTAGTGATATCTTTTGTTGCAGTCCTGATCAGGAGGATGAGGAAGATCCTAGCCTTAGTGATTGATTGATTTACAGTGTCTATAGAAGTCCAAAATCTCTTTCCAAAAGGGTTTCTTAATCTTGCCTATGCAATTACCGGTTTTTTAATGTCTGTGAATTTCAACCTTTTTTTCTCATTGACAGCTACTTATTTAGTAGCATTGGGCCAAAAATTGGGTCATGTGCAGTTATCTTATAGCTTTGTTTCTTCTGTTTTGGAGATGATCTCTGTAATCAGAACTGGAATTACTCATGCAGGATAGCCACTGCTGCTGAATAGTTACTCTATGCTTGTCTTCCTTAGGATCATTCTCTTATACTGCATAAAAGGCATGTGCAGATTAGATTAATCTACTGTTTAAAGTATTGACCCTTACTTATTCCATACCAATATTCTCATAAAGCCTATTTTGTTTCAGTGAGTTTGCCCTCTTTGGTCTTTCTGGTCTTGCTCCGACTTCTACTCTGTTTAGTCGGTGTCCATCTCTATCCACAACATGCTGTCAGGAAGTGTGTTTAGAGTCACTTTCAAATCATGGAAAACTTTGAGTGCTTTTAAATATGGCAACAGTCCATGCAGGTTCTCTCTTTTAAATAAATAAATTTGGTGATATCTTTAGTTTTAATTCGCTTCTTATCTTCATTATTGCTCTAATACAGTTCTGAAACCATCATGCTAGTAAGTCATACCATGTAGATACATATTATATTGGCTCACTTTTGTATTACTTAAAATTGCAAAATTGTCATTTTGGTCTTCATGTGCGTGAGCTGTTATTACATTACTTTGATGGTAATCAACATGGACTATTTTGGTGTGTTAATTTATTAATTTAAACACTTACTGCTGCTTCTGTATATTTCCTAGTTGTGTCAAGCTTTCTGGCTTACATAGTTGGTTTCTATTTTTTTATTAAATATCTTTAAAGTATTAACTTGTGACTTACTGGAACTACAGTTGTGTTTTAAAATCATCGTTGTGTAGACCTGAGGCTTCAACCCCAACCCTTCTAAAATTAGCAGGAACAAATCATTTGACCTTGCCATCACGAGTATTTATTTCTAAAAAATTTCTTGATGATGACGGAAACACCTCTACCACTGTTAAAGCATTTTATTCATAAGATATGTTATTTTAATAATTTCCTAATTTAAAGTATTGCATGTGATGTCTTTTTTTTTTTTTTGCAATTTTACTGTCCTCAGTAATTGGTTGTGTCACTGTTTTTATTTTTTTCTTAGGCTTTATAACGTTTTAAGCTTCTCAGCCTCATCAGTTGCAACTTTTTCTCTGTCTTTACCATTCCATATTGCTCTTATGCATCATAGCTTCTAATTTACTGATACACGTTTAAAGTTCTTTTTTTTTGTAGTGTTTTTTTTCCCTAAAAAAAATAATTAGTTGTCTCTTTTCATTGTGGAATTGCAGCCTTTTGCCTGTGGAATATATTCTTGAACACCTATTTTTCATTATTTTCATAGTTCATAGTTATTTTGGAAGATATCTGATAGTTGTAAAGTAATCAAAATACTGTTTAGGGCATAGAAATATCGCTTTAAGGAAAAAGTAGGTAACTCTTCCATTGCCACTTTGCAAAACAAAATTTGCTAGGTTGTTACCTTACTGACCCTTAGGGCTCAAATATATCTAAAAGGAGTATGTCAGTAGCTCAACTTCTAGTTAGTTGCGTGAACTTAGCACTATTCATTTTATACATAAGTAAGTCCATGGTAGTGCAGGCAGCTGGTTGTGAAAATCTGCACTGCAGGCTTTTTGTGTAAGTCTAAAGTAACCTCACCCGTAATTACAGTTGTAAGCTGCTTAGGTAATTATACACAGGCATGTTGGACACTTACTATCATATAAAAACAATTTGTTTTGCTTTAGTTTGTTAGTTCCTCTTACAACGATTATCTTCAAAATAGGAAATTATATGGTTTAGATGGTATAATTTAAAAAGAA